GTATACATTGTCAAACTGATTAATCTAATTATTGAACCCTTGCTTAACTTTTTACCTGTTATGATTTCAGAGTGTTCATCTAGTGTTAATTCTAGGGCCTTCATTGCCTTGTTTATCGGACTGTTGGTTTACATAGATAGTACATCATAACTTACAGCAACTTAATAAAATCGTACTTAGTTCCTTACTGAAAACTTTCACATTTCATAGATTTGCTTTAAATGAGTACACATAAATAGTGATATTTCATGCCTCACACTACCTCTATTATTTACAAAAATCCTAAGTGGAGTACCTTGCTTATGGTCTTTGGGAAGATCGTAAGCATTTGGAAATCCAGTATCTCGCTAGAGAAGGGCATTCATTTTCCACTTTTCCAGTTCTCCACTGTTCACATATTGTTGCCGAAGACCCTTAAATCTGACCTTAAGGCCTTTGTTGGATCTTTGCTTTTTCAACCCTAAAGTACTGAAGCGAGATATTCACGAATTAATTTTATCAATTAATTTGTTCCGGAAAATGTAAAAGCATGGCGTGTAGTTTGTACTTAAAGCTTTGGGCTTGTTTAAAAGTTGCATTCTGCGTTTCGACATAAGATGTGATGAATAAGCGTATGGAGGCGAAATAGAATTCGCGTTATAAAATGTTTACCGAAAGATGATCATACATTAGCTTCGCAAACCACGCTGTCCTCTAGATTCTTATAGTAACGTCCGTTCTGGCCATCAAGTTACTTCTCACAAATACAGTCTACCCTTTGAGGTCTTACCAGCAAATTGAGTCAGATTAATATATCATTGCATGAGTGTTTGCTTGCCCCAATGATCCTTTCTACATTAATCGTGAGTGAGTAGGTTTACGAGAGTACCAATACATAAGATATATGGGTTGTTTTTACCATATTTCGTTTAAGGTGATGAATAACTGGTAGTAGAATTTTCCCACAATGCTATGGGTAGAGCTGACGTTTCCATTGAATTTCACATAGCCTTGCTTTCCCAAAAATTGTTCTCATCCAGACAGAAGTGGACTGCAGTTTCAACTTCACATAGGACTTATCAACACCCCCAGCAGGAGTCGACCATGACAGTTCAGCGTGTAATCTCGACATATTAAGCACTACGCCACGTTGCCGCGAGTACACTTGGGTCACAGAGCAAATGGGAATTCCAAGGAATGTTAGGCATTTTCCATATCACGATAATAGGATTATCGATGAAGCAAACTTATATTTGATATGGCAATCGACAACATTACTT